TCTTAAGTTTGATTGTGAATATTGCTGTGAAGATGGGGAGTTGAAGGGGAAAGAATTACACCATGTACTGATTGAATGTAACCTATACTGTGATATTAAAAAGAAATATATATGTACAAATGAAGATCGCTCGATAATCAGGGATACTTGGCTTGATCTATTAAACTTTCCACAAGCAGAAAATATTAAAGCAATGGCTTTCTTCGTCATAAATATGTTTAAAAAATAGGTAATAACCTAATATAATCTTATGTATTCCACGAATTATTTGTATTTATTTATGCTCAATAGCACTCTTTTGTATGAATCAGTGATTCTGAACAAATAAACTATTATTATTATTATTATTATAGAAGTGAAAGAGAATTGGTGCAGTAAAGGGCCTATTTGATGGTCAATAATTGCCAAGTAAAGTCTGACGAATTTAGGCAGACATTATTGGGCCGTATTGTCAGTTTTCACAACAAAAAGTATTTTAACCACTATAATTCATGTTTAATACTCCCCGGTTCTGCCCCTCTGGTGAGATAACCGTGCACTTTTTCAGAATACATGGTTTGTAATTTGTTAAAATAATATTTTTCAGCAATCATAGCTTCATTTTCTCGTATTCAAATGTTCAAGTAATTAATTTATTTAATTAACAAATTATTAAACCAATTATGTAATTATATTTTATTTCACTTTGATAAAAGAATATATTAATAATTAAACATTGATTCAAAATCGCAAATTAGGAAGAAAATTACTTTTCACATTAAGTTTACTTTAAATTTAAACGAATTCTACTACAATAATAACATTATAAAAAATTTCAAATTTTTGTAGATTTATCTCGTGTCTTGACTCAAAGATTTTAATTGTAACTGAATATTTTTTAAAATTTCGTTTCGCTCCTTTTCAATCTTCATTCTCTCTTCCATCAATTTGTTATTTTCTTTTAATAGAAAAACTTTTTGCATTCGATACGATTTCAATGGATCCTCCAAAGTCATTTTCCGTTTCATTAATAAATCTGTAAAAAATTTTAAGTTTTTCATTATCTTGTTATTCCGTAAACAAATAAATTAAATAAAATTATTAATAATGTAATTTGTTGATCATTTTTAAAATTAATTATTATTAATTATTATTATTATTATTAATTATTATTAATTATTATTAATTGTTATTAATTATTATTAATTATTATTAATTATTATTAATTAATTAATTAATTAATTTAATTAATACTAATTAAATCCAATAATTCTTTTTATCATTGCATAGTCACAAATTATTTTTAAAAATTAGTTAAATGAAGAAATTGGAGAAAAAAATATTTAAAAACGATTAAAAATTTATTGAAAATTCTAAATGAATAAACCCATTATAGTGCTTAATTGGAGAAAGCAAAAAATTATAATTCTAGATAAATTTAAGCAAAACCCTCACGGTACATAATCTTATATATAATATTGGAAAAAATATCTATATATATTTTAACATTAACAATATTATAAAGATGTTAGAATATTAAGGTCGTGTCATTCAGTGGTCACGTGTCACATATACTTTACTATGGAAATACGTCACACGGAATAACATGACCTTAAGGCAATATTGACAAACTTCCTGCAAGTATAGGTGTTGTTGGGAAAGTTGCTTTTAGAACATTTAATCTGCTTTAAAAAGACGCAATAAAGTTAACAAAGAAATTAAAAAATTGACAACTATAAACCAATTACAGGGACGTTACGCTCTGAGAAAACCTGGAACTATCAGAAAATTTTTTTTAGTTAGTGAAAACCTGGAAAAGTCATGGAATTATATAAAATATATTGTTTTAAAAATTAATTTGCAAATAGAATTTTGATTTTTTCCTTGATCCTTCTAAAAAGAATTGAAACAGTTAAAAATAAGATTAGTTCCTGTATCAAACTTCCATCGATAACTTTTAGTAGAATTTAGGAAATTTTAATTACTTTACAAATTTTTAATTACTTGCTTATAAAACTTCAATCATCTTTAATTCAATTATCAAAAAGAGAATTTAAATGTTCCAAAAACCACAATTTTCAGAATTTTAAATACATTTTTTCGAAACTTATTTAAAGAAAATGTAATTTAAATTTTTTAAAAATTTACTGTAATTTAAGTAAAAACTGTAATTAAAAATCTTTGTAAATCTCAATACAAATTAATTTAAAATCATTTAAATTTTGTTAAAAAATTTTATTTTTAAAAATTATAAGAAACAATTCTTTATCAATTATTAAATAAAAAATTTCTTCAGAATTTTAAAGGAAACAACATATTTAAAACTTAAAAAAAATAGAATTATTCAACCTGAAGAAAGATATTCTAGAATTTAATTATTTAAAACAAATTAAATTATTTACAGATATAAACAAAATTTAAGGAATTGTTTTATAACTCATTGCGTTTTAAAAGTTTTAAAGGTGAAAATAGAATTCAAAAAGGAAAAATTAAGGTTTGTATGCCTTTCAAAAATATATTTTTGACACCAAAAAAGCAGAATTTTTGTAGTAATTTTAGAAGTTTGTTATTTTCAAGTACTTTTGATATAACCCTATAATTTCCAAGAAAACAAATAATGAAAAAAAGATAAAATAATGTAAGGAAATTTTAATTTTCAATCGATTTCAACAATAACAAAAGTAGACTCTAATATTTACCTTTAAATTTATTTGATGATGTAGTTTCTGGTTCCGTGATTCTTGTTTCCTCACCGTCCGAATCATCAAGAAAGATTATATCATTATTAATTAAAGACACTGATGCAGAAATATTTTCAGGATCGTTTCCAGAAGTATCATTGCCTCTGACTGGCTTCAAAGAATCTTTCTTTTTCTCCATTGTCTGTTTGCTGCTTTTTTCCTGTAAAATTCTAATATTACTTTCATAGTCCAGAATTATTAATAATTTTTATCCAATCTCAAGAAAAAAAGATAAGGTAAAAATTAATCAGGAGAGAAGAAAAATTGAAGAAAATAAAAGGAAGAAAGAAAATAGAATAAGAATCAAGAATGAAGAAAGAAGACTTTTTAAAGAAGAGTGAAAATGATTGAAAATTAATATATTATTTATTGCCTGTGTCTTTTTTTCGGACTCAATTTCATTATTTAAAGTTTTAAGAGCTGTTAACTCCCAATTTTCAGGTGGAGGAAGAATAATTATATCCTCCTCATTTTTCAATAATAAAATTAACTGTTGGTCCATGTACTGGAAATCAACAGGAATGGGAGACCCCCCTCCAGTCGCAGTTAAGTTTTTTCTCTCATTCCTTGACTTAAGCCTTACATCTGTCTTCCAGTTGATCCAAGTCTAAATGAATATGATTTTTACATTCTCATCACATGAGAATGTATTATAATTGGTCGAAAATTGACTTTTACTATTTCCATGAAATCTTTACGTTTTGAGGTGCCCTGAGTCGAAAAAACATGGTCCGGCGAAAGTGTCTGTCTGTGTGTCTTTATGTATGTACGTATGTATGTATGTATGTACGTATGTAGACACAAAATGTTGTTGACACAATAACTTTTGTAAATCGAAACAAATCGTTTTGCAATTTTGCATACACAAAGTTAGAATCAAAATACAGGTTAAGTTCGTTAGCCAGACATTTTCATCAAAAAATGCAAAAACTGCGGGATTTTCAAAATTTTGAAATTTAATTTTTTAAAAAAAAAATTTTTTTTCACTACACAGCATTACAGTCCAGGAAAAAGAAAACATTTTTTTTAAATAAAATTTTTTGATTAAATTAAAATTGTAAAAGTTACAGTGGTTTAATTGTCGAAAAACACCTAAAAAACGCCAAAAAAGACATTTTTTATGAAAAATTAAATTTTACTAATGGGGTGAAAAAAATCAGTCCATAAAATAGACACATTCTCATCATAATAGACTCAGAAAATATGAAACAAGTAAAAAAAATATCAATTTAGAAAAAAACCACTCTATATACATATTATTTATATTTTTTTACACAAAAATCATAATATCTGACTCAATTATCTTGTAATGTATTCATCTTGGCATAATGACCCCACAGACTTTTTTCTTCAAAATTTTATCAGCTACAACTTTGCCATTAAACATTATTCTCTATCTCTTTACGTTTTTAAGATTTTAATGAAAAAAGCATTTATTTTTACATTCTCATCATGTTTGAGAGGGAGCAAAACCTTGCTGGTGAGGAAATAGGTCTGTTATCAAAAATTCACAGCGAAATAAAATCTCGGAAAGTTTACACAAAAAACAACACTTTATTGCTGATCAGCGAACACACAAGATTTACACTTAAGAAGGTGAGAATTTCCTTAGAGTTTCTAGAATTGTCTTGTGTTTCTCAGCTGGCGGCAATGCCGGTCTGAGCACGTTTTCGACGCACTTGAGATTAACCTTTGATTTCGCGACCGATAATTGTGTGAGAGACAACCCGAGTGATAAAATACCTTGTTATAAAATTGAGCTTGATAAATAAACTAAAGTTAAGTGATTATTAACTTAGAAAATGAACAGATTAATGCCTTGAGATAGATGAGATCTAACCTCTAGAGATATCTGGTGAGTACTAAAATTTACAGAGATGCGCGGAACGACGACGCCGTGACATGTTAGCGCCCTCACGTGTTAACTTGATGCGTAAATTCAAATTATCGCGCACAACACCAAATTTCACAATATTCAATTCACTCAGAATTGGCGATTCAAACAGCTACACTAGCGCCACAGTTGAACTAATTTAGGTGTGACTCGCTCTGTAGCACTCCATGTGTTTTAAATTATTTTTTTTTATTTAACGCTTAAAAATAATTTTACAAACGCAATAAAAATATCAGAATAATTAAATAATTTGAAATAAACTGTCAAAACAGAGACTGCTTTAGAGCGAGTCACGCCTAAATTAGTTCAACTGTGGCGCTAGTGTAGCTGTTTGAATCGCCAATTGAACATACTCCCCTTCATCGGCAACGGAGTTGACGATCCATTTAGGTTGAGTTGTTGTCCTTGAGAGCTTCTTCCGTCGAGATGGGGAGCACAGCCAACTTGGTGATTGGTCGTTTGAGATGTGTCGTTGCAGTTTTAATTGAAACGACTCTGGTGAGACCGTCCTTGCCAGGGTGTAATGCAGTGACCCTAGCTAAAGGCCATTTTGAGGGAGGGAACCTTTCGTCAGTGAGGAGAACTAGAGAACCAACCTTGATTTGATGTGTTGGATGATGCCACTTGGAGATAGCGAGTTGTTGTTGAAGATAACAGGTGGACCACTTCGCCCAGAAAAATTGAGCTTGTTGTTGAATCAATTTCCACCTTGTTAACCTTGAAGTTTTCAGGTCCAAGAGGGATGGTTCCGGTATTGATGTGAGTGGTTCCCCGATGAGAAAATGTCCTGGTGTGAGAACTGACAAGTCGTCAGGGTCCTCTGTAAGAGGTTCCAATGGTCGGGAGTTGAGAACCGCTTCGATTTGCGTAAGAAGAGTCGTAAATTCCTCGAACGTCAAAATCGTCTCGCCGATCGTCCTTCTGAGATGATACTTGATTGATTTCACGGCAGCTTCCCATTTTCCACCCATGTGTGGAGCTGCTGGAGGGTTGAATTTCCAGGAGGTGCCGTCCTTGATCAGTAGTTGAGAGAGTTCCTTGGCTTCTTGAGATCCGTCCTTGAAGAGTTGCTTGAGAGTAGTGTCCGCGCCGATGAAGTTGGTACCACAATCACTGTAGAGTGTTTGACAAATACCTCTCCTTGAGACAAATCGGCGGTAGGCTGCGAGAAATCCGTTGGTGGAATAATCCGTCACTACCTCGAGATGCAGAGCCGATGATGAGAAGCACACAAAGAGACAAATCCATCCCTTTTTCGTTTTAGCTCCACGACCTGTCCAGGATTTGAGGGTGATTGGACCGGCGTAGTCAACCCCAGAAGTGAGAAATGGCCTTGAAGGGGTGATTCTTTCCAAAGGTAGTTGACCCATGAGTTGTTGAGCACGAATTCCTCTTTGTCGAGCACAAGGAATGCACTTGAGAATGAATGACCTTACTGGTTGTCTTCCTCCGATGATCCAGTAGGAATTCCTTAGATGAGCCAAGGTGAGTTGAGTTCCTCCGTGAAGAGTCCTTGAATGAGCATCCGCTATCAGAAGTCGAGTGAGGGGAGAATCCTTGGGTAGAATAGCAGGATGTTTGCTTTCGTGATCCAAACTTGAGTGTTTGAGTCGACCTCCGACTCTGAGAATACCTTGATGATCGATGAATGGATTGAGTTTGGAAAGCGGATGAGACCTTGAGAATTTTGTGCCTCGATTGAGATCCTTGATGTCTGCTGAGAAGTAGGCCACTTGAATATTCTTGATCCAGAATGTCCTTGCAAGATCGAGATCCTTGAGTCCGATTGGGTTGGCCAGAGAAGAGTTGGGAATCCTTTTGAGAATAGCGAGAAATCTGAGGCAAATTGAGGTGATTTTTAACAATGAGTGCAGATCTGAGTATTGATGAATCAGATCCCACAATTGGGGGTGAGAGGTGGTAACAGTAAATGTTAATCCTGGTCTTTCTTCGACTTGAGCTGATGAATCCGACCTTGAGGTTGATGAGGGCCAGTTTTCCTTGATGTCCTTGAGCCATGGTGGACCATTCCACCAGAGGTGATGTTGAGAGAGTTGTTGAATTGATAGGCCCCTTGATGCACAGTCAGCAGGATTTTCTTTTCCTTTGATGAATCTCCATTGACCTTGAGGGACGAGGTCATGGATCGAAGATACCCTGTTGTGTACAAATTCCTTCCAACGAGAGGGGTGGCTGTTGATCCAAGTGAGGGCTACCGATGAGTCTGTCCACAGGAATACTGGAACTTGACATAATTCCAGGGTCCGTTGAACGTAGTTCCCAAGTCGTGCCAAGAGTTGAGCAGCCGAGAGTTCCAACCTTGGAATGGTTAGACGTTTGAGGGGAGCAACCTTGGTTTTGGCACAAACAAATGTAACTTTTGATTCTTGGTTTGGTTCCGAGGTTTTGAGAAAAACAACAGCTGCCATTGCGAGTTGTGATGCGTCCGAGAATCCATGAATTTCCGTTGTTGAGGTTGATGTGAGATTGAGCCATCGAGGGATTGAGATCTCGGGGAGTTGAGCTAGCTCTTCCTTGAATTTGATCCACCTTGAAGATAGTTTCTCAGATAAAGGGTCGTCCCAACCCAATTTCTCAAGCCACAGTTCCTGCAGCAACATTTTGGCTCGGATGATGACGGGAGAAAGAAATCCTAGGGGATCAAACAATTAAGATACCTCGGATAAGATAGACCTTTTGGATATTCCTTGACCTGGGAGAGATGTTGGCTCAAATGAGAACTTGAATTCATCTGACCTTGGAAACCATGAGAGACCGAGAACCTTGGTTTGAGTGTGATCGATTAAGTGGGAATTCAAGTCGCCTTTCCTTGTTACAGCGTCGAAGAAATCGGGGTGATTGCTTTGCCATTTAGCTAGAGGGAATCCGCCAGAGTTGAGAAGATCGATGAGATCCTTGGCTATGTCCTTGAGTTCTGACACCTCATCAGAACCACCGTAGATGTCGTCCATGTATCGACCATTGAGAAGTACGGGCACAGCCAGAGGAAACCTGTAACCTTCGTCTTGAATGAGTTGTAAAAGTACCCTTACCGCCAAGAATGGTGCAGATTTTGTTCCGTAGGTGACCGTGGTGAGTTGGTAAGAGATTTCCTTGTTGTTTGAATCCACCCAGATGATTCGTTGTAGATCCCAATCGTCCGGATGTACCTTGATTTGTCTGAACATCTTGGTGATGTCCGTAGAAAAGATGTATCGAAATCTTCTTACCCAGAGTAAAATGTCGGAGATGTCCTTTTGAAGTTTTGCACCAGTGTGAAGTATTGAGTTGAGAGAGGCACCGGATGTGGAAGGGCTTGATCCATTGAAAACAACCCTTAATTTTGTTGTGGTACTTTGCTCCCTGAGGATTCCATGATGAGGTAGATAATAGGTTGTAAGGCTACTATCCCTTGGAGGAGCCTTGACCATGTGTCCATCAGCTTCATATTCCGTAAGAAATGCGAAGTAGCGATCCTTGAGAAGTCCTTGAGTTGAAAATCGTTTGAAGAGCCGATGAAGACACCGTTGAGCCTTGAAGAATGAGTCGCCAAGTTGACTCGGTGATGATGAGATTGGAAGTCGAATGATGTATTTGCCCTTGGAGTCCCTTGAGTAAGTGGCCTTGAAATGCTCCTCGCATTCCAATTCTTGAGTTGTGAGTTGATCCTTTTCCTTGGTAGGTACTTCTTCTTGAGTCCAGAATTTAGTGAGAAGATCTTGAAGATCATCCAGTTGCTGATCCACAATCAGATGATGAGATAAATGTTCCTTGATTGAATTGCCATCGGTTGGTCCCAGAATTACCCAACCAAAGATGGTAAGTTGAGCCATGGGTGTTGAGGAAGGTCCCTTGATGATGTCCGGTTGAATGATTTGAGCATACACGTCCGCTCCAATGATGAGATCAACTTTCATTGGAATGGTGTAATCGGGATCGGCAAGAGGGATGTTTTGAAGATGAGACCATTTGAGAGATGGAAGAGTGGTGGTAGGAAGCGTTGACGACAATTTTGAAAGAACGTATGCGTGGAGAGAAATTGATTTTGAGGAATGGATTGATTTGAGAGTGATTGAAACAACTCCTCGAGTGTTACCTGAATTTGTTGCTCCAATGCCGATGATTGAGATGTTTGAGTGATGCCTTGTTAGATTGAGATGAGATACCGTTGATTCCGAAATGAAAGAGAGTTCAGATCCGGAATCAATAAGCATACGAACTGGATGAGGAGTACCTTGTTGAGTGATGAGAAGAGCACGTGCAGTGGCGAGGAGAACCACTGGCCTTGAGTGAAATCCTTCGCCGTCGAGCTGCGTCCCACGTCAATTGACCTTGGAGCTGTTTGATGTACTTGATCCTTGATCTTGATCCTTGTCCTTTGATGGTTGATTAGTATCCTTGTTGATCTTGGGTGCAGTGGATTGATGGATCATGGTGTGATGTTTACCCTCACACTCTTGACACCTTTTTTCACTCTTACACGCACTAGCACTGTGGGGTCCCAAGCAGTTGAAACAAAGGCGTTCCTTGATGACAAATTGCCTTCTTTCGGTAGGCATCAGATCTCGGAATTTCTCACATCTGACCAAGAAATGAGATTTACCGCACATTGAGCATGATGATGATGAACCTTGTTGTCTTGGGGATTGAGTGGATCCAGCAAATGCCCTTTGAGATGATGAGTTACCTTGAGATTTGCCTGATGTTGATGCTTGGTTCCTTGTTGGTTGAGAGTAGCTAGAGATACTCTCAAGAGCACGAGCTCGACCAGTGAGGAAATCCTTGAGTTGAGTGTAGGTGGGGGGATCCAGCCTTGATCCGAGTTTGATCTCCCAACCTTCTCGAGTGTGAGTGTCGAGCCGTTTTGAGATGTGATGCACCAAAACTTGGTCCCATTGGTCCACTGGCAAACCGAGAGTTGAGAGGGCGTTTAACGCTTCCGTGGTTGAGGACAAGAGAGTGTTTAAACCTTGCGCGGACTTTGGGGGGATGATAGTGGTTGAGAAGAGCTGTTCCATGTGTCGAGTGATGAGTAACCTTTTGTTGTCGTACCGAGAAACGACAATGTTCCAGGCAGATTCGAAACTGTCATTGGAAACTGAGAGATTCGAGATGAGTTTGGCCGCGTCACCAGTGAGACTAACCTTAAGGTATTGCATCTTCTCCACAGTTGATATCTTTGGGTCATTTGTGACCAAAGAAGAGAAGAGATCCTTGTAGCTATTCCAAGCTGAGTAATCGCCCGAAAAAGTTGGAAGAGGAATTTTGGGGAGCTTCCCTGAAGATCGCACTTCCGATGATGAGGGTGAGTGGGTGAGAGCGGGAGGTTCCAATTTTCGAAGCTTGCACACGTGGTACAGCATCGCGTCCCTTGCCTTGGTGTAAGCTTCAACAAATTGTCCGAAAACATCCTCCTGTACATAAGGGTGTTTAAGGAATTTGGCCGAACTACTGGTGATGAGTTCATCATGAATCTCGCTGAACTCCTCATAATTCTTCTCGAGAATCTGAACCCTTAGTTCCAAAAAATCCGCACTGTCCACAAAAAGTCCTCGTTGTAAATCTGGGAACGTATTTTCCACGATTTTGAGCCTTGTGAACTGAGTTGATACCTTGAGTTCTACCTTGGATGATGGTTTGCGAGTAGAATCGATTTTTGATTGATCGTCGTCATCTGTTACCTTTGAGCTGACACGTGACGCGTGATCAGAAGGGACCTTGAGAAGGATCTTAGGTTCAAGATGCACCTTGGAGATTGATTCAGGTGACTTTTCCTTTTTTGATTCGTCCTTGGTGAGATTATCCTTGTCGGTTTTTTCCTTGTCGGGGTTTTCCATGCCATCAAAGAATTCCTCAACTTCCTTTTTCCCGTTATTTGACATGATTTAGAGATTTGAAAGAACGAGGGAAAACGAGACCAAATGGAGTTGAGTGGTGTGTAAGCAATAGTGCGACGCGCAACGAGAGCGAGAGAGAAAGGGTGCGTGAAGCCTCGATGCGTGAGCACAGCGGTAACGTGCACCGGTCGTCACCTGTAACCGCCGAGCAGAGGGGAGAGAAGCAATATGGCGCTCACTGAAGATTGGTGAGCGGATCCTTGTAGCGCGGCACTGTGACGTTGCGAGAGGAGGGGAACCGTGAGAGTGGGAGCGCGCACACGGGAGAGAACTCGTTTCCACTTGCGATGAGGCGAGGGGAAGAAACCGTAGAAAAGATGGCGTTAACTGAGAGAATCCTTGAGGCGTGCAACGCTGAGACGCCACGAGAATGATTCCTTCGTTGATTGTTCACTGAGCACTTTCCTTGAAAATGTCGTTGTGGCAAACACTTCGAAATTTCACTATGCACTTTTTTCACAGGCCATCCGGCTCGAAGGACCAAAAAATGTTTGAGAGGGAGCAAAACCTTGCTGGTGAGGAAATAGGTCTGTTATCAAAAATTCACAGCGAAATAAAATATCGGAAAGTTTACACAAAAAACAACACTTTATTGCTGATCAGCGAACACACAAGATTTACACTTAAGAAGGTGAGAATTTCCTTAGAGTTTCTAGAATTGTCTTGTGTTTCTCAGCTGGCGGCAATGCCGGTCTGAGCACGTTTTCGACGCACTTGAGATTAACCTTTGATTTCGCGACCGATAATTGTGTGGGAGACAACCCGAGTGATAAAATACCTTGTTATAAAATTGAGCTTGATAAATAAACTAAAGTTAAGTGATTATTAACTTAGAAAATGAACAGATTAATGCCTTGAGATAGATGAGATCTAACCTCTAGAGATATCTGGTGAGTACTAAAATTTACAGAGATGCGCGGAACGACGACGCCGTGACATGTTAGCGCCCTCACGTGTTAACTTGATGCGTAAATTCAAATTATCGCGCACAACACCAAATTTCACAATATTCAATTCACTCAGAATTGAACACATCACATGAGAAGGTATTATAATTGGTCGAAAATTGACTTTTACTATTTCCATTAAATTTTTACGTTTTGAGGTGCCTTGAGTCGAAAAAGCATGGTCCGGCGAAGTGTCTGTCTGTGTGTATGTATGTATGTATGTACGTACGTATATAGACATAAAATGTTGTTGACAAAATAACTTTTATAAATCGAAACAAATAGATTTGCAAAAATGATATTGTACAAGATTTTTCAACTGGGAATAGTATATATAACCCTTACTTTTATGTATAACAAGCTTGATTTAAATAAAATAAATTGTTTAATTAAAAAAACTATTTGAAAAAAATAATGGAGATGAGATACTAACCCCTTAAATGTATTCGTTTGCTCAAATGTTTCATATATTTAAATAATAAAAAATCCAAATACTCAAAAACACTTCTAATTCCGCATCATACATTCGAGCGTGAAACGCGAGTGCCATGATGAGAATGTTCTCCTTAAAGTCGAAGAACTTTAAGAAAATTAATCCTATATAATAATAATAAAATTATTGTATATAATTTTTATATTAAAATATTATAATATAATATTAAATGTAGAGTCAGCATAACATTTGGAGCGCGTAGCGCGACGGAGTGCTCTTCGCGCCCTAGGCGCGTTCAAACCCGCGTTTCTAAATCAGAATTTTGCTTTGATAATAAGTGAAAACAGTAACAGTCAAATTGAAAAGTAATGTAATTAATTAACCATTTAATAATAATAATAATAATTATTATAATAATAATGAAAATAAATAATAATAAATATTGAAAAAATTAAATTTTAGAAAAATGAAATGTGAAAATTTATTCAGTCGATCATTTTATAAAATCTAACCTTCTCCCATGTGTCCACATTTGTTTTAAATCCATTCTTTTCCATATTAAGCACTGTACTTAAAATTTGCCATTTCTTTTTTTGAACTCCCTTCGAACACTTGGAATGCAGGAGATCCTTATTATTTTGCATGAATCGAATTAAAATTGTTCTTTGCAGGTTCGAAATACTTTCCATCTTGTGGCTTTTTGACATTTTCATTTTTTGTATCTTTCTCATTTGTTTCGTAAAGATTGGAATTTCAACATCCTGAAGTTCTTCATTTTTATTGTTCAATAAAAACTTTAAGTTAGCGCACTATTCAAAATTTGCTTATTCTTTTTAATGAAAATTCAAGTAAAAAATGGGATTTTGTAATTAAAGAGAAAAAATATAGCATTGTAGAGTATTAAAAAAAAATAATTTTTTTTGTGAAAACCTGAAAATTTTTTTAGAGTTTCAAAATAGTAAGAAATTCTTTTTTCAATAAGACTGAAAATTTGTTGTAAATATGTTAGATATATAGATATACTATATTTCTATTTTCTGATGATTAAGATTTTTCGAAAATTACGATAATGAAGAATTCGACTTTATCATTTTGTCAGATTATTTTTAATAAGAAAGAGATTTCTATAAAAAAGAATACTTCAAAAAATTTCCACACGAAGTTTTGAACAAGTACTCCAGTTTATTTATAAATTTGGTAATAATAATAATAATAATGTTGTAGTTTCAATTTGTAATCTGAACTCTGAATTGGATTCAAATACAAATTTTTGAATCAAAGTAAATTACAAATCTCAGAATAAAATAAAATTTTGGATAAAAATAAAAATTTCAATTTAACACAAAATCAGATTTTGAAAGTGGAATGAAATTAAAATTTTCCACAAACAACATCGAAATTTCAAATTAAAACGAAAATAAAAATTTTAAATAAGAACAAAATCGATTTCTAGAAATAAAAAACTCCCAATTTTAAATGACAAAAAAATAAATTTGAATTAAAGATTGATTGAAAAATTCACAATCGGATGAAAATTTTGAATTGCAAGGGAAAAAAATCTTTAAATTCAAACCAAAATTAAATTTTTGAAGATAAAAATAATTAGAATTTCGACTTGTGTTTAAATAGAAATTTTCGAACCAAAATAAATTACAAATTTTCAAATCGGAAAAAAATAATATAACTAATTAAACCTTACTATTGACAACAATTAAACAAAAGTGATGAAAATGTAATAATTGAACGAGAATTGTATATAAAAAACTGAAGAATTTATCGACTGACGATATTGTTGATTCCCTCAGAAATATCTTTTAAAACAGCTAATAGATTTTCTTGATATTTCTTCTGATTTTTGATATTTTCTTTTTTCAGTTTTAGTTGTTCTTTTTTCAATTGTACCTTCTCGGACAGTAGTTCTATTGCAGATTTATCTAGAAAAAAATAGTAGTATTTATAAAAATCAGAATTTTATATTGTTACAGAATAAAATCCAGAGGAAAGAAGAGACAATGGATACAATACCACACTTATATAATTGAAAACAATTAAATAATTTTTTTTCATTTTTATTAATAATGTGTAATATTTAATGGGAAAGAATGTTGAGACAATAAAAAAACTCTAAAATAACTTATTATTGTTTAAACTATTGAGTTTTGATCAAAATACTCATCATGGACTTGTATAAATTTTTATGTCATTCAAGGAAGTTTAATAAATCAACTCCAAAAGCATTAATTTCCTCAGAATAATTCAAATCATAAATCATGAACTCCTTTCGCTTCAACCATGGTTGCCAAGGAAACCGCAATAAATCCAGAAAAAGCCATTTAAATCGCATTTTAGAGACTTGTCATATTAGATCCGCCATTTTGAATTTTTGAACATTTATTTCAATCAACAAATTTTTTATTTTATCAGCCGCCATATTGGATCCACCATTTTGAATTTTGAAAAACTGACATCGGATTCGTAGTCAGCAACCCCGAAAACCCCTGAGTAACAAATTTATTTAGAAATGATTCCGGTGCCGCAAAGGGTTAAGGATAAATCTATATAACATTATTAAAATTTATAAATAAAATTCATTATTTAATACATTATTTACAAAAGCTCCAAATTCTAGAAACATTTTAACTTTTACAATTTTAACTACTTTTCATAGCTAAATAAAAATTTTTTTTGTGGTTAAATAAACACTTTGAAAAAATAAGCAAAATGTGGTTGTAAAGTTAAATTTTTATAAAATTGTATCCTTTACTATAGTTAAATAAAGATAAAGTTTTTTAATTCTTTATAAAACATCTAATGACTTTTCCTTTTGTTCTTTCATTTCAAAAAAACGACTGTAACATTTTTTCTACCTTTAAAGCTCAGAGGGCAATCTAAAATTAAGTAGATAAGCATATATGTATAAACTAAACATTCTTGATATATATAGAGAATCATATGTCAATAATTAACTTACATACATAAATAAATAAATACAAATAATCAATAAACCTTTTATTTTGGAGAATTTCTGTTCTTTGATTTCTTCTGCTTCATTTTCACTATCATCAATGTTTATTATAGTTTCTGGAAAAAGGTTAAAAAATGAAAAATTACGAGAAATACTTCAAGCAGCATCTCGATAATGAAACTTTTTCAAAAAAATAAGAATTTTCCAAATAAATCATACTTTTTCACTTGCATACATTTTTTGAACTTTTGTGAAAATTCAAAAATTTTAGAAAAGTAAAAGTCGTGCTGAATTGTGGTCGACGAGCGCAATAAAAAAAACTATAATGAAATTTTTTCAAAAAATTAATAATTTTCCAAATAGATCATACTTTTTTTTTAATCGAAATACAATTAGAATCCTTTTTAAATATTATACAGAAAAAATTAGCTATTTTATAGGAGATTTTGAGGGTTAACAGCGACGTGTTTATGTGTTGTGAATGAAAAAAATATTGTAAGCATTAAATTACCTTCACTTTTCAGTTTCTTGTTTTGTCTAAAAATTAAATCAACTTTTCGTTTAGTTACAGAATGTTTGTTTTCTGTAGAACTACCTATTGCAAAGCTTACGTCTTCCTTGAATTCTTCTTTAAATAATT